ATGAGTTTGCCATTTTTTAGGAGGAGACCTAATTTAGGAGACCTAAATCTCAAGAAGGAAGGCCTGGTTTTTATGCATTCGATGGCCTGAATAGACAGCTGGAGTCATAGGAGAGAGGGAAGTTGGGTGCTTGCTGCTGTTAAACAGATAAAGCTACATCCATCAACATCATCAGAGAACTGAGAAGGATAAGTTTGAGCAGGGAGTTTAATACAAATGTCCTCTGTATCAATTAAAATGACAGTGACTTACCTAGATGGTTACCATAGGTTTCTCTATGGTGGTTTTGGGGGCAGACGTCATTGATCTTTGGCAGCCATGCAGGATACCATTAATTTTGTCATTGCCACACAAGGGAGACATATCAGTAACAAATAAATTTTCCATTGGTTATAACAAAATTTTCCTATGTGGGTGGTAGACACTATCTGGACCCTTTATCCAGTACATATAACAGCTTTCCCATTGTTGCATAGGTAGGTGCACTCAATCCTTATTCTTAGTTTTTACCTTTTATACCACAGTTTCCCTCAGAACCTCGAGGCCTTAAGGTTTAATTAATTGATTATGGCTCATTTGCATACAACCAGGCGGGAGGAGTGCCTGGATATTGAGGTGAAGGTCCGATGACCTTGCTTGTCTTCCTCATTTTGAAGGAGCATTAACTTTTAAGAGTTTCATCTCGGATTATTTTAAGCAGGTGTATCTGGAATTGCCGTTGAGATTTTAGTCAGAGGGTTTTGTTTTATTTGATAATCAGTTATGTGTCTGCAGATGGAGGCAGATAAGTGAAAAGCTTAATAAATTTTTATATTATAATGTCATTAAGTTGGAGAATGATATAATTATCTGTAACATAGAGGCCATAAAACAGAAAACTATTAAAAACCAGACGTCTACAGGAACTCAGAAAATGTTGACATCATTGTTTTTGTTTTCTTTGTGGATTTTAAACTATATTCAATAAGTTTTCAAGTCTTAATTTACAGAAAGTTTATATTTTAGATGTTTTAAAGCACATAGCATTTTTTCCTTGGGCTGTTTTGTTCTTATTTTTGCCCTAGAGTCAGATGGCCTTCTGACTTAGGACAGAGATATTGGAGGAAATTTTTAAGCAAATATCTTTGGACTGTGAGAGGTTAGGTATTACATAACTCCAGAGCAAGCTTTTTAATATCATAGATCAGTGTAAAACAATATTTCAATATTATCCATACTGGAAAGAAACATGAATCCTTGCAAAACTGAATTTAGTGATCATCAAGGGAGAGACCAGAGAGAGCAGAGAACAAAGAAGGTTTAGAGATAAAACATTCTGGGCACAGGCCAGCTGTAAATGCAGAGAGCAGTAGGTGATGGAAAAGGAAGCCTATGGCGCACTCTAGGACTGTGTGCTGGGGGACCCACATTGTCACAGCCTGGTGGCATGGGGATTGGCAACAGCCAGAGCTCCATGGTCAGAGAGAGGAGCCAGCTAGGAGATAGAGGAAGCAGGGAAAAGACATTCTTCAGAAGCAAAGTCAGGGAAAATTATTGCAAACAAGTGGGCATAGGGAGCAGGCTGTAGCAAGCCAGTGTGTGTGTGTGTGTGTGTGTGTGTGTGTGTGTGTGTGTGAGAGAGAGAGAGAGAGAGAGAGAGAGAGAGAGAGAGAGAGAGAGAGAGAGAGAGAGAGAGAGAGAGAGAGAGAACTCCATGGGGAGAGCTAGAATGGAGGCAATCAAGAGCAGTCTGCCTTTTGGAAATCCTGGAAATGTAGCATACAGCTCAGAGTTGATTGGGCTGTGTTCAGTCTGTCATCTCTGCAACAAACTTGAAAACATAAATATAACAGAAAAGATAACAGCATGAAAAGACAATACAACAGTGAAATCAGGGAGACCAAATAAACTCCGTCATGGGGTAGCCACCTTCATTCACATACCAAAACCAGAAGAACAGGAGGGAATCACCTCTGTTATAGACACTGGGCCTATGATTATGTCCAATCTCACCTTTCTCTCTCCAAATGTCTGGACTCCAAAAAAGAACAGAACAATTCACTTAGATGCCAGAGCTTCAGAATCATGTTACCTGGAAAATTTTACTTTTGTTTTTCTTTCAGTTCGCAAATGTAGGGTAATTGAAATCTAGGCTCCCGGGGGCCTATTAAGCCCACCTTTGACTTGCTTCCTCTGCGACCTATCCCCTATTAGCAGCCTTTAATTTGTGGCAGCCTTGTAGTCTGGGCTTCAGGACACATGTCTACCAGGGCCTCTCCCAAACCCAAGGCCTTAAGTCTAGTGTCTCCTAAGGATCTTGCTGGGGCACTCAAATGTTGTGGAGTTTGTGACCCCTGGAAAAAGACCATAGACTCAATCCAAGTATAATTGAAAGATTTATCAATTAGCTGCTAGAAGGACAATAACTATAAAGTTGAATTTCAGGCATGCTGTGAAGGAGGGGATAAGGATTTTCTTAAATATAAAAACTGCAAGGTCTTTAATATCTATGCATGCAAGCAAAAACTGGTCTCTTCTGCCAAGTTAAAAGGTTAAGGTGACTCAAAACAATATTTAGGTATCCAAGTAAGGAAGTTACAATCCCCCCAAAAGCAGTTAGTCATATCATAACAAATAATATGGTCACAATTTCTGGGTGAGGGGGTATTCACTGAGTCAGGGTTCCTGGGAACTTACCTTTTCAGGGACTGGCGTGAGAGACAAATGACTAGTGGGTACCAAGATGGATTCCTAGCATAAAATGGAATTTCTTTCCCCACTACACTTAGTACTAAATAATATGTGCTCCTAAATTCCATTCAGATGTTACCAGGGGCCAAGAAGAAAAGCTTGACACTTGGAGTTTCAACTGATTAGTTTTGATCACTTGTCTTAAAAGAAGTGTAGGTATAGAAGTTAACAGTATGACAAGGAAAGGTATTTTAATATTACTGTAGCCAGTCTGACAGAGAGAGATCCAGGAGCTTTCTTTGGGTTGACAGTTTTGAGGTTTTTTCCAGGTAAAAAAGAACAAAGTCAGGCTTGAGGGGTTTTAACATCACAGTGCTACTTATCAGTGTTGAGGAAATTTCTGGTTCCTGAGGGTTCTCATGCTGGGAAAATTGACTTCATTTTTTTTTTGTCTAAGAAGTTGCTAAACTGCTCAGGGGCAATCTCCTGGGATTCTGGGTGGGGTACTGTGGCTGCCACGATGTGGCCACTCTTGTTTAGGGGTATACTCTTCATAGAGTGAGCTGTCTGCAGAGAACTGCTGTTCCTGGTGGTTTAGGATAATAACTAGAGGCTTCCAGGGTCACTGTAGAGGCTCTGTAACAGAACCTCTTGAGCCTGAAAAGACCTTAGTCATGTCTATGGCTTCAACCTTAAAGCAGGAGGATTGGCCACTTCAGATAAACACTTGAATGCTTACCTATCCTTCAGGTGGAGACCAACAGGAATTGAACCACAGTTTAAGGTAAAGGGGGCAGGTACATACTGAAGACAGAGTGTTAAGTTTTTTACTGTGTTTAGTTCCTCATCAGGTATCTGAAGGCCCAAGAGAAGAGTGATTGTGTGTGCATATGGTGTGTATGCATGCATATGTGTGCGGATATGTGTGTTTGAGTCAGTGCGCATGTGTCACATTGAGGAGCAGTCAGAGGACAATCTTGGGTACCTGTCCCATTTTGAACCTTTTGTCCTATTGTTGACTTTGAGACAGTATCTTTGTCACTGGTGTGTATCAGTCACTGTGTCAGTATCTCTGGCTCAATGGCTGCGAGTTTCTGGGGATTCTCCTCTTTGTCTCCTTTCTTGTGGGAGCAATATGACTGCATGTGTCTGTGACTGTGCTCTGCTTTATGGGAACACAGCAAGTGCTTTATATATGAAACCATTTCCCCAGCCCAAGAATGATAAAACATTTTTTTAAGACAAACCTGAGCAGCTGGCAAAGTCTTGCTCTACATAATACTAGAAGGAAATGGGATCTAGGAGGTGATTTTTGACACTGTCTGGGGCACAACAGTCTCTGTTCACATCTTGTCCAATTTCCCTTTTCAGTAAAGCAATTATTCTCTGATGATCTGCAGTTTAAATGGAACTGTGTTCACTTATATAAATCTGTTGATTTATAAGTTCTCAGTCTACATTTTCCTAATGTAAAAATTGATTTGAAGCCAAGGACATAACTAAGGATTCAGGAGTTTTGAGTTATTATCACATTTTCTGGGTAATGAGTCAATGACTGCTGTATCATTGATTCAAGTGGCAGTCATTCACTGAAGCTTAAAGGAATGACCAGAAATACATCTTTTCTCTGAGACAGCCAGTCACTAGAGCACTTATATATAAGCACTGCCCCTATATAGCTCCTTGTTCTTGGGCTGGATACACTGAATTACATCATGACTTGGGGCAAGTTTTAAAATCTTTCTGAACTTTAATTTTTGTTTCTTTAACATGTAATTATTCTCTCAGGTTACTTGACTGTGCTTGCATTCAACAGTGATGAATAGTTGCTTGGCATCAGATACCATGTTCTGTGTATGCAGCTGAATTTAAGGACAATTAGAATGTATAAAGCCTTATAGAAGATACAGTCTGGAGATCAGGAATGCCCTTCCTTCTGTATTCTAAATACTGTTAAAACTCAGAGACCTCATCGTAAATGATGACATGGAAAATAGATGACAGAAGATGATTATTAGTTTATAGGTGGGGTAACAGAGAATGATACCCTGTACTCAGAAAAAGAAACATATCATGTATTGCAAGATCAGACAGGAAAAGAAATGTGATACAAATGTATGTTTGACAGGGAAAAGTAAAAATGAAATTTGGACAAATATGTTGCATAGAATAGCAGTAAAAGCAATGTTAGAACATAATCACTATGGCTGTTTAAGTGAGGTTTCTTATTAAATTACTGGGTCTAAAGATAATTAGTGCACAAATATTAAAATGTCTCTTAATTATGAATGAAAGTATTTCTCTCATGATCACCCTTGCTCTGCTTCCAGCTAGCGGAAGAGTATGACCCTGTATTCACCGTGTATCTGGGCATGAAGCCCACAGTGGTGCTGCATGGATATGAAGTACTGAAGGAAGCTCTGATTGACCGGGGAGATGAGTTTTCTGGCAAAATGCAATCATCGTTACTCAGTAAAGTCAGGCAAGGGTTAGGTATGGCTTTGTGTTGGGACACATCCAGGTCTATACAAGTGGCAATGAAGCTATATAGATAAGGAAACTGAGAAACTAGAAACAGAAAAAAATGAGGTATTGTTTTTAAGATTCTGGCTTCTTTTACTTGAAATAATAACTTACAGTTTCCTCCATTTTGCTGTAAACGTGATTTCATTTTTCTTTATGTTTGGGCAAATTTTGGTTCACACACACTAGTAGATTTTAATGGCATTTTGTGTTCTATTTCAGTACACAGATACAGCATCCACTGTCCATTTATGAATTCATGTTTTTTTCTTACCTTTTGCCATCCCCCATTCCCTCTAGTGATTGCTAATGAAATTAGCATTAACCCATTTTCTAAACTGATTAACATTATATACACTGTCCTCATGAAAGATTAAGTTTGAACTTGTGACTAAGGCATAATATTTTGTTACATGCAGTAAACATAATGATAAAGATATTGAGACAAAAGAAAGGAAAAGAAAAGAAAAGTGACAAAATATCCAAGTCATCAAATATTATGTCTCATGTACTGAAGCATGAGTCTATAGTGATTTTAAAAGTGTGTATAGCATGGTAACTAGTATAGATATGAATATTTTATGGCCTGTGATATGGAGCTAGATCAGTGGTTATCAACCTGAGGGTTATGACCCATTTGTGGGTCAAATATCAGGCATCCTTTATACCAGATATTTACATTACAATTAATAACAGTATAAAAATTAAAGTTATATAGTAGCAATGAAATAATTTTATGGTTGGGTGTCACCACAACATGAGGAACTGTCTTAAAGGGTCATAACAACATGAAGTTTGAGAACCACTGATCCAGATGATTTTAAAAATGTGTGTGGTGTGGGAACCATTATAAATACAAATATTTCCAGACTTGTATCCAGTCTTTTATATTAAAAAATCATGAGTAATATTTGAACATAGTGGAATGGGAAAGAAAGCATACCCATACTCCTTTAAGAAAGGTCCACAGGGACACTCACTGTTTATGTAGTGCATTGATATTGTAAATGTTTTTTTCCTGTAAATCATTTCTAAGACTATATAAATGTATTTATAACATTTCTTCCTTCCCTTTCCTCCCTCAAACCCCTAGCGAAGAAGCCGGAAGCTGAAAACTGATAGTTAGAAACTAAATGTATGCTAGTTATTGGTTTTTGGAGCTGATATAATAAAGATGTTCAGTTTTCTGATAGCGCACTGGGTGCCCACCAAAGTGACAAGGGATCTTTTAGTCTGCATTGTTCTCTAAGACTCTTCCTTGACAATCTTTGGTTTTTTAAATGAACTTATTTTGTACCTTGATCATGTTTAAATTTAGAGAATTCATGTTGAAATTTCTAGATCCCAGGCTAACATAATACATGAAATGTTTAAGCAAGTAGAGAATGAATGTTGAAATACAAAGAGCAATCAATCTGTCAGTTACTATCTCCCTTATCTAGGCACATAGTTTTATGAGAATACTTCCAATGCAGAAGTCTTGCACTCCTACCCCATCTCTACTCAATGCTAGGCAACCACTTCACTACCCAAACATATTTCAGTATTCACTTCTCTGGAGAATTACCTTTTGATGATTTTTTAAAAAAAATTCACATACAATCTGAAAAGCTAGCCCTGACTTAGTCTCACTACAATTTACTATCTGTGTGATCATAAAGGAAGCATTTTGCTCTCATGATCTACATCATTGTCAGCCAAATGGAGGAGATCAAAGATTCACAGAATTATGCTGAGTTTTTGAGATGTTAATGGGGGACACAAGGTTTTCAGTATTTGAAATCTAGAATCCTGGTGGTGAAATACTAGGTTGTGTTAAGAGAGGTGTCAGGTAAGTGGGTCTGATACAACCTTGTCTTCTATGCCTGAATAGGAGTCAGTATTATTTCCTGAAATGAATACTCTCAACTAGAATTCTTGATAACAGATTTTTTTTGTCCCAACAGGAATCATTTTCAGCAATGGAGAAATATGGAAGCAAACACGGCGTTTCTCCCTCACAGTCTTACGGTCTATGGGGATGGGAAAGAAAACTATTGAAGACCGAATTAAGCAGGAAGCACTTTGTCTGGTGAAAGCATTGAGAAAAACCAATGGTGCATTTCTATTTCTGTAATCAACAGATAGGGAAGAAGAGCTATGGCAAATAGGCTGTTTATAAAAGTCATTGGGTCAGAAATATAATTGAAGGTTACTCTTCTTATATGACAACAGTAAGAAATAAACTAGTTATGATGCCAGCTTTTTCATGACCCATGCTGACTAACTTTTACCCAATTAACTTTCAGTATTATCCATGGTTCTTGTTTTCATTTGATTGAAATGGATGGAAGGAGAGAAAGCGACATAAAATGAAATATTTTAAAAATTAGACATGAAAGTAGCACAGAAAATTAACCTTACATTAGTAGGCTCTATCTAGTAACACGACCACATGTAACTGCAGGAGGTAGTTGGAAAAGTTACTATGAACACAGGAAGGAAAACATGCATTTTGGTTGCATTAATTTTGAAAAGTAAGAAAGCTGTCAATTAATTTCTTGAGAAACATTACAGGGTGACCAAATTATCTAATATGTCAGGTACAATTGTTCACATGGGAGGATATGAAATGATGGAGCAGCCTCAGGAATAATCTCAGTGCATGACTGTGTGCACATATGCAGGTATAAGGCATGGGGAAGGAGAAAGAATGGGCAGGAGAGCAGGTAGGAGGGGATGAGGTCAGGGTCACAAAAATATATAGCTCTAGACCTTCAGTATCTAAATATTTTTAACAACATCATTAAAATAATAATATTTTGTTTTCTATGGTGAATTATGTTTTAAATCAATATTCTAAAATTGTTTAAATGCATATTTACCATTTTATTGCATAAAATTCAATTATTACAGATGATCACATAATCTTGTTGATCTGTAGAAACATATGTAGAAGTGAAGTGAGTGTGTCAGTAAAGGATATTTGGGTGATATATGCAGAAATAAAAAAGCATACTGCATGTATTATGTATGTTATTTTTATGAGTTCATTTTCAAATGAATGTATTGTTTATCCTCATGTGTTTACCACTTGATGGATTTCAGAATGTTAGTAGCTGAGCAGTATAGTGTTCTACAGATTTAGATGCAATCACTCTACTTATGGTTGATGGATTTATCTCAGTCTTTGATATTAAGAACATAAAAATATACAGTATATGAAAGTCACTGTATGTTTGAGATCTTTGTCAATTTCTTAAAATAATATTTTTTTCTTCTTTTTCATTTTTCTTTATTAAGAAATTTTCTACTCACTCTACATACCACCCACAGATCCCACATCTCCTCCATCCTCCCACCCTCAGCCCTCCTTCCCAAGCCACCCCACATCCCCACACCCCTCAAATCAAGGTCTCCTATGGGCAGTCATCAGAGCCCAGCACACTGAGCCTAGGCAGGTTGAAGCCCTTCCCCACTGCACCAAGGCTGGGCAAGGTGTCACACCATGGGCACTGGACTCCCAAAGGCCTCCCCATGCACCACCAGGGACAGATCCCAATCCCCCAGTCTGGGTGCCCTCCAAACAGTTTGAACCAAACAACCATCTTCTGTATCCAGAGGGCCTAGTCCAGTCCCATGGGGACTCCAGAGCCACTAGTCTATAGTTCATGGGCTTTACCAGTGTGGCTGGTCATCTCTGATGTCTTCTCATCACAATCTCGACATCTGCCACCTGCAGAATCCCTCTTCTCTCATCCATTGGATTTCCAGAGCTCAGCCTGGTGCCTGGCCATGGATCTCTGCATCTGCCCCCACCAGTGACTGGACAAAGGCTCTATGATGACAGTTAGGGTATTCACTAGCCCAATCACCAGAGTAGACCAGTCCAGGCACCCTCTAGACCACTTCCAGTACTCCCAGGTGGAGTCATCATTGTGGATTCCTGAGAGCCTCCTGGGCACCCTGCCTCTTTCAGTTCCCATGATGTCCTCATCTATCATGGTATTTCTCTCCCTGCCCTCCCACTCTGTCTCTGTTTTGGCTCAACCCTCCCATTTCCCTATGTTCTCATCCCCCAATCCTTGCCCTCTGCCCACCCCCGCAAATCCCAGTCCACTCATGTAGATCGCAATGATTTCTCCTTTGCTGGGCCATCCATGTATCCCACCTAGGGTCTTTCCCTGTTAGCTAGCCTCTCTGGAGTTGTGGGTTGCAGTCTGGCCATACCTTCCCTCACATCTAGTACCCACTTATGAGTGAGTACATACTATGTTTGTCCTTCTGAGTCTGGATTACATCACTCAGGATGATATTTTCTAGTTCTATCCATTTGCCTGCAGATTTCATGATATCATTATTTTTTTTACTGCTGAGTAGTACTCCATTGTGTATATGTTCCACATTTTCTTTATCCATTCTTCAGTTGAGGGGCATCTAGGTTGCTTCCAGGTTCTTGTTATTACAAATAATGCTGATATGAACATAGATGAGCATGTGTCTTGTGGTAAGATTGAGCATTCCTTGGGTATATGCCCAAGAGTGGTATAGCTGGGTCTTGAGGAAGACTTATTCTCAATTTTCTGAGAAACTACCATACTGATTTCCAGAGTGGCTGTACAAGTTTGCATTCCCACCAACAGTGGAAGAGTGTTCCCCTTGCTCTATATCCTCTCCAACATAGGCTGTCTTCAGTGTTTTTGATCTTAGCCATTCTGACAGGTGTAAGATGGTATCTCAGAGTTGTTTTGTTTTGCATTTCCCTGATGACTAAGGATGTTGAGCAATTCTTTAAATGTCTTTCAGCCATTTGAGATTCTTCTGTTGAGAATTCTCTGCGACTCTGTAGACAATTTTTTAATTGGATTGTTCAGTATTTTGAAGTCTAGCTTTTGAGTTCTTTATATACTTTTGGAAATCAGCCCTCTGTCAGACATGGGTTGGTGAAGATCTTTTCCCATTCTGTAAGCTGTCATTTTGTCTTATTGACCATGTCCTTTGCTAGACAAAAGCTTCTCAGTTTCAAGAGGTCCCATTAATTAATTGTTGCTCTCAGTGTCTGTGCTACTGGTGTTCTATTTAGGAAATGGTCTCCTGTGCCAATGCGTTCAAGACTTCTTCCTACTTTCTCTTCTATCAAGTTCATTGTAACTGGATTTATGCTGAGGTCTTTGATCCACTTGGACTTGAGTTTTGTGCATGACAACAGATATGGATCTATTTGCAATCTTCTGCATGTGGATATCCAGTTATGCCATTTGATGAAGATGCTTTCTTTTTTTTTGATGATACAGTTTTGGCTTCTTTGTCAAAAATCATATCTTCATAGGTGTGTGGATTAATGTCAGGGTCTTCAATTCTATTTCATTGGTCCATGTGTCAGTTTTTATGCCAGTACCAAGCTGTTTTCATTACTATAGCTCTATAGTAGAGCTTGAGGTCAGGGATCATGATGCCTCCAGAGGTTGCTTGATTATACAGGATTCTTTTAGCTATCCTAGGTGTTTTGTTTTTCCATATAAAGTTAAGTATTGTTCTTTCCAAGTCTTTGAAGAATTGTGTTGGGATTTTGATGGGGATAGCATTGAATTTGTAGATTGCTGTTGGTAAGATTGCCATTTTTACTATGTTAATTCTACCTATTCATGAGCATGGGAGATCTTTCCATTTTCTGATATCTTCTTTGATTTCTTTCTTCAGAGACTTAAAGTTCTTATCATACAGGTCTTTTACTTGCTTAGTTAGAGTTACCCCAAGGTATTTTGTATTATTTGTGGCTATTATAGAGGGTAATGTTTCTCTGATTTCTTTCTCAGCCTGTTTATCATTTGTATATAGGAGGGCTACTGATTTTTTGAATTAATCTTGTATCTTGTCACATTACTGAGGAAATTTATCAGCTGTAGGAGTTCCCTGGTAGAATTTTTTGGGGACACTTATGCATACTATCATATCATCTGCAAACAGGGAAAGTTTGACTTCTTCCTTTCCAGTTTGTATCCTGTTGATCTCCTTTTGTTGTCTTATTGATCTAGCTAGAACTTCAAGTACTATGTTGAATAAGTATGGGGAAAGTGGACAGCCTTGTCTTGTTCCTGATTTTAGTGGAATCACTTTGAGTTTCTCTCCATTTATTTTGATGTTGCCTGTCAGCTTGCTGTAAATTGCCTTTATTATGTTTCAGTATGTTCCCTGTATTCCTGATCTCTCTAGAACCTTTTTCATGAAGGGGTATTGGATTTTGTCAAAGGCTTTTTCAGCATCTAATAAGATGATCATGTGGTTTTTTTTCTTTCAGTTTGTTTATATGGCATATTACATTGACAGATTGTCATATGTTGAACCATCCTTGCATCCCTGGGATGCACCTACTTGGTCATGGTGGATGATTTTTTTTGATGTTTTCCTGGATTTGCTTAGTTAGTATTTTATTGAGTATTTTTGCATCAATGTTCATGAGGGAGATTGGTCTGTAATTCTCTTTCTTTGTTGCATCTTTGTGTGCTTTGGGTATCAGGGTAACTGTAGCCTCATAAAAAGAGTTTGTCAATGTTCCTTCTGTTTCTATTGTGTGGAAGAATTTGAAGAGTATTGGTATTAGCTCTTCTTTGAAAATCTGGTAGAATTCTGTGCTGAAACCATCTGGTCCTGGGACTTTTTTGGTTGGGAGACTTTTAATGACTTTCTATTTCCTTAGCGGTTATTGCTCTATTTAAATAGTTTATCTGGTGTTGATTTAACTTTGGTATGTGGTACCTATCCAGAAAATCATCCATTTCTTTCAGATTTTCCAATTTTGTGGAGTACAGGTTTTTGAAGTATGAAATGATGATTCTCTGGATTTCCTAGTTGTCTGTTGTTATGTCTCCCTTTTCATTTCTGATTTTGTTAATTTGGATGCTCTCTCTCTCTCTGCTTTTTGGTTAATTTGGATAAGGGCTTGTCTATCTTGTTGATTTTCTCAAAGAACCAACTCTTTGTTTCATTGATTCTTTGTATTGTTCTCTTTGTTTCTATTTTATTGATTTCAGCCCTCAATTTGATTAATTCCTGGTGTCTGTTTCTCCTGGGTGAGTTTGCTTCTTCCTGTTCTAGAGCTTTCAGTTGTGCTGTTAAG